GTAAGGAGTCCGCGATTCCCTCTCCTTGTGTTGATTACGCTTGCCACACCTGTTACAGAGTTATTGCCCTGTGCGGGTTCGTATGCCGTCGGAGATAATTATGAGCGAGAAGATTGTGGTACTTACTCCTCGTCGCAGTTGGGTGGTTGGCGTAACCGCTAGCCGACGTCATGAGCAGGCATTCTACTCGTTCTAAGAATTCATTTTACGTTTGTGTCTAGAGTCTAGACAGTGTGTCAACCGCAAGTTAAGAATGATCGAACACTACTTTTAGTTAATTACTTTTTTATAGTTTCTCTGTTTGCCAACTATGGCCCATCATAGACTTCTTGAATAAAGTTTGTTTCCTTGAAACTGAATCTATTTACCAGTTTCAAATTTCATGTGACTAGGTCATGACATTTTTGGGGTCAACAACAAACGAAAAGATCGGCTGGTTTGGAAATATTAGTATGGTTATGCTCTATCGTAGCGGTTCCCAAACTCTTTGTTCGTGTGGGGCAAATTAGCACGAAAACAAACTCACGGCGCACTTACGCGAAAAATAATGCTGCTTTTAAATGAAACTCAATTTTCTGTTCGTTGATGTGTATTTTATGCCGTCCAAAGTTTGTAAACATGTAGGCATAAGAAATGAGGTCAAACCGCTGCTTTCTCGAGTATTCGTTACCGCAGAAGGGAAACTCATGTCAGCTAGTTTTGTAAGACTTGCTTTGTTCAGAATGCGCCAGACTGTTGTTTTTCTAATCGTTGATGTTTTTTTATGCAGTTCAAAGGTTGTAAACATATACAGATATAGGCAATGTAATAAGGGCAAACCGCTGATCTGTCGAGTATGCGTTACCACAGACGTAATCTCATGTCAGCTAGCTTTATAAGACTTGCTTTGTTCCGAATGCGCCAGACTGACGTGAAATTAAAACGAGAATAGACAAAGCTGAATTGTTAAATTGAGTTTTGATTCATAATGTATTTGTTAGCTGGTAGACTGCAGTCGAAGTTGTCGCGTAAGCGAACTCAGTGATAATGTATTCCAATATTTTAGTGGTTACCGCAGTAAAAATTAACGTTTCCGTCGATTTTTCCGATAAATTGGGTGAGAATTACCTACTTTCAGCACGGTGGACTTATTTTAAATTCCAATATATATGTGTTTTATGCCACCGTAATGCCAGCCAAATGTTTAAATAATTGTACCGGATGGCATACCAGGGTGTGCCTTCTATCGTAAAACTCTTCACAACTTCTTGGGTTCGAATATTGACAATTTGGTAAAATTTAAAAATTTTGATAAGATAATCCATTTTTTTTAAACATTTCCGGCCCCGGGGAAAAAATGAGTTTACCAATGAATAGAGGACTAATATCTAGGCCACCACTCTAAATAAAATATTTGAATTTCATTTAAGAATAAATATATGATACAATCGCATTATTGCAACAGTTTTACTTTCTCCAATATTATATTCTACATCAGTGTTTCATAACCTATGCGTCGCGAGTTTTTGCAAAATATTTGAAAGTAATATAGAACTGTGTCTCTCAACCATTTTTTCAAGCAGCCGAAATTTAAAAAAGAAATACATTTTGTAAAATCTCGCGACCCAAGGATATATATACTCAAATACTATCTGACATGTAGTATTTTTATGAGCAGAATTTAACTAAATAATATAAAACAATCAGTTTTATGTAACATTTATTTCCCCAAAAATTATTTTAAAGTGAGAGACTGTGTGTTTTGCCATCAGCGAGTTTTTGAAATCGACGCGTGGCTTTACTTGAGCAAAATAAATGATGCTAATTTTTACGCAGTGATACACATGCAATTACTATTGAGCAACACTTCAATACCAAATATAAAAATAGTAACCTTCTAGTATTTTATTGATATAGCAAGCAACCCAAGAAAATTTTCAGGCGACCCAATTTTGGGTCGCGACCCATGGTTTAAAAAACACTGATGTAGAATATATTATTAGAGAAAGTAAAACGCTTGCGACATTACGATCGTATTATATATTTATTCTCAAATAAAATTCAATTATTTATTTAGAGTGGTGACCTTGATCAGGGCCTCCCAAACTGGGGGTCGCGACGCCACAGGAAGGCGCGCAACGAATTTTACACAAAGTAATTTTTGTAGTATTTGAGGCTTTCAATTCGAAACACAATTATAAAAACTAATGTAAAACATGAATCTCGCGATTTCGAGAAAATACTTAGGGCGGAATAGAAGCGACGCGCTTGCATAACAACAGGAGTCTAAGACTTAAAAGTTTGGGAATCTCTGGCCTAGATGATTTAATAAAAAAATTTGATGATTTAATAAAATAATTCTGTCCTGGGAATGCAGAGGTTTATATACTTTGTTGAATTATTGAACATTATGACGACCCAAATCTTTGTTTCTACAGATTCTCTCGTAATAAATAATTATTAACTATGACATCACCAATAGTCAGTTTGGTGCTATTTCTCTCACTTTCCATACTCACGAATGGAAGGAGACACGAGAAGATTTGTTTACAGTTGGAGAGTGTAGAAGATGTATATGGTGAAAATCGGTATGTGGCAAATTTTGCAAAGTAATATTTTGGTAATTTTACGAAAATCTTGTAATTATCAGATGAAGCAGCGACTCATTGATAACAATTTAAACCGCCTGTTATGGAGACTATATTGTTCAGTCTCATTGGATGTTTTCCAGAGCATTGATTTTCTTGTTTATTGTCGTAACAATGACTAATCAGCAATGAACCTACGATAACGTAACAATAGCAATTCATGAAGTCGCTCAGACTTCTTCCTCTCGGACGGATATTTAAGCATGGTTGTAAATACGCTGGTTTTGCGTGTTGTCCGTCAGGTTTTGCTTGTGCTTTCAAAAAATCAATCGATTGTCAATATGTCTTCCGATGACCCTTAGTTTAGTTGCAATAAATAAAAATTGACACAATAAACGCTGCGATAGACTAGCCAAAATTAGCCATCAGTACCTGTAAGCGGCATGTGAGTCAGTTTGTAAGCGCTAACTTTCCAAAAACTCAAAAAATCGTTCAATATAGGGATAATTTTTCAGGGGTCAAGGGTCGAGGAAACGACCATAATGAGAAATGCTGAAAGATTCCGGTTCTAAATCTTCTAATTATGAGCGAAACGGCGCTTTGTGCGGAACAACTTTATGAAAATAAATAACGACTAATATAAATATTTATTTTTAGTGCCGAAGTACAAACTATTCCGGGTAAAAAAGGCCCGAAAGGCGATAGAGGATTTCCTGGGCTCAAGGGATCGCAAGCAGAAGTCGATTATGATAAACTTGGAGCCTTGATTAATGAAAAAGTCAAAAAAGGTGAAATCTACAAGATTGTTTTATTTGCTATTGTAGATCTTTATGTAAACCTGTTTGTCAAATCCTCATATTGATAGCTCGGGATTTAGATATTAAGCCCGGAAGAGAGGAAAGCCGATCAGACGGCTTAATCATATGACGAACCACGGCCTCTCGTCCGGTTACCAGTCCATGTCGGGTATGGGATTAGTTAGTCAAATATTTGTTTCCAGAACCATGGACTTGATGTTGGATGAACTACCCTACAGGTTGAATGAACTACAGCGCAGGAGTCCAGCAATATTATTGCACATAACCATTCCCGCATGGAATTCGAACCTTGCGAACCCGCGCAAAGTAATTAGAGGTGCGGTGGCGAGCGTATTCTTAACGCTTAGGACGGTGCGCCACACCGCAGAGTTGGATTTATGACCTTTGAACTTGTAATGTCGGAATGAATAACTTTTTTGCAAACATTGAAGAGTTATTCAACATTTTTTTGTATTCCCGTATTATGTGAACCAAAATGGCGAACACCCGGAACGTACCAGGTAAGGGTTAGGCCATAATTTTATTTCAATTCTCCTCATTTCAGTTATATTACGAGTTAGGGGACTAGCCAAGTGACTCCCGTAGTATTTGTACCTGAAATAATGACCTAACCTTAACCTGGTACACATACTACGTTCCTGTGCCCGCCATTTTGGTTCACATACTTCGGTAGTACTCTTTGTGCCAATAACATGTCATAGCCTACCATTTTGAAATCTGTCATCGTCTAAACCAGTTATTATCAAACCGCGGCCCACGGGCCAATTACGGCCCGCAGAAAAATTCGATATGGCTCGTCGAATCTGGGTGAAATAGTTTAACACTTTATGTTTCTACATTTTTGCTTTCTAGATATCGCCAATTGTTACGTCATAAGCATAGTTTAAGCATGTGTATATCCGTAACAAACCAGTTATACCGATAGCTCAATTATACGTACCGGTACCGGCATCTTGCGGCGCTTCCCTTTTCCGGCCCGCAAACGTTCTCCCGCTTCTAATTTTGGTCAATCAACATTGGGGACCACGGATCTAAAATCTTTTTTTTAATAATTGATTCCTTGCTACCTACATAAAAGCGCCATTCACTTACGTGGCAATTCAGTTGCCATATTTTGTGATTTTTTTAAAACATAAACGCAAATGTATGTGATTTCATTGTCAGTAGACAGTTTGGCGCTTGTTCACTAAATGACGCGTAAGCATTTCAAGTTGGCTTCGAACAAATATCTTTGCATATAGTATTTCTAATCCCCCACCAGACTACGTCATCCAAAAATTAAGTCACAATCACGTCTTAGACCTTGCAAAGGAAAAGCTACGATCGCCCGAAAAGGCATCTCCGCCGACGATAACGAACTCGCGAACGCCAGCGATCTCTCTCATATTGAGACAGTCATGACGAGAAAACGAGAGAAATAGCTTGCTCGATTTCGGGTGATCGTCTGCGCGTTTTAGACGGCGATCCGAATACTTTAACGGGCGTTATTTTTGGATGACGTAATCAGGTGGGGGTTAGAAATGACATATCCAAAAATGATTATGCCACGCCAACAAAAAGTAGTTTAATGAACTAGGCCCGACAATTGTTCTGATTTTATAACATTTGTGTTAAGCAATGAAAAAGCAACGAGCAGAAATGAACGAAACAATAAATGAATTGCTGGAAAGAATAGAAGAATTAGAAGGGCAAGAAAGCACAAACACCTTTGAAGATGCAACAACGGCTCCTTCCGTTCCACCGACACTTTCTCCGCCTCCTGGATTCACTGAACAAGGTTTGTTCCATTTATTTACTAGTGGTTCCCAAGTCACGGCCCGCGGCCAATTACGACCTGCGTAACGATTTTAAATGTCCCGCCGAAGTTGAGTGAAATAACTGTACACTTTATGTACACGTGTTTCGCAACAATTCTATTATCCGATAGAATTCTACACATGCTTAAACTATTACAATACCGTAACAATTGGGTGTATCTATAACATAAAAAGGTAAAAACATAAAGTGTTAAACGCTGGGGTGCTCCACAAGAATGGTGTAGACATTTTTTGAAGCGTCGTGAAGCTACCGTAATCAAAAATAAAAATATTTGTTAGATTTGATTTTATACAAAATTGAGTTTTCCACCCTGGTACACGGGAAGATAAAAGCTCGGAATCAGCTCAACCGTGAAATCGATTTACAATGTGCATTATCCACCACAAAACCTCGAAACCGCGCGGCGGTGTGGCTCATCGTGCCAAGTATGCTTAGAAATATGCTCGCCAGCGCACCGACCGGATCCTCCACCATCAAGTCCATGCTTGTGAAAATAAATGAATAACTAATCCCAGACCCGACATGGAATGGTAACCGGACGAGAGGCCTTGGTTCGCCATATCGGCTTTCCTCTCCCCCGGGATAAATATGTAAATCCTATCCTATCCAGAGGCCACTGTGAAGCTAGAAGAAATTTCAGCCAGAATATTTTTACACATTGAATATAGTTTCCACGCGCATATTGTTCACTTATATAAAACATATAAGAATTCATAAACGCTGATAAAAATATAAATTTACCACGGAATTTGACGATAAAATAGTATTTAAAAAATACCAACCAAGCGAAAAATGCATTTACAGGTATTCCGCAAAATACGAAATTTAGAGGTTTTAAACAATTTTATCAAAATCCTCCAATAAAAAAAATGTTACATTTATATTGCTCAAAATTTAAAAAATATATGGTATTTTGGTATTATAAATGACCAAGTCAAAACGTGCTGCTACTGTCCTGCTATAATGCAATCGAATCTATAAGGATTCTGCTTTTTTCCATTTGTGTTGTGATTAGAGATGTAACGATGTATCGGAATCAGTATCGACAATATCGGCCATTTTTCCAGAATCGGTCATGTATCGGTAATCGACCGATCTTTCCGGTCTAAAATGTTTTAAAAAATAAGTTAAAATACTGATATTTTGCTTGCTTGTGAACTATGAGTCATGCATGTCCCCATCTCAGCGAGTAGAAACGAGAATTGTATTCGCCTGTTTTTAGTTATTTATCAGCCAAACTCGCTCAACTGATTTGGCTCCTTCCGCTGCCAAATTTTTTTATTGACATTTTTAATACATAGTAATTATGAAGAAATATATCAACACAGCACAGAAAAAAAAGCAACTAGGCGCGCAGTTTCAAATCATACAGTGGAATCGTGGTCCTTATTTAACAGAACATCGACTTTATCGTGCGAATATAAATTCGGACCGTTTATCGTCAAGCGCGAGTGTCGTTTAGTCCATCGACATCGTTAAGATAAATTCCGACTGAACTATTCCTCCACACATGTATTAAATATTGTGATTTCATTAATTTTGTTCAACTACGCAATTTGCTTATAGATTTATTGACGTGTCCGCCTAGAGTCCTAGACTATCCTAAAATATACGATGATATTTGCAAAATATTTTAAAATAGTAGAATAAAAAACTTCCTCGACGTGTTAGGTACATTTGGTCTACTCACGGTTACAATTGAACACAAAATAAAATATTTGTAAATTTTTTTTAATTAAAACGTGGGACGGCGGCGCTAAAATGTGTGAGCGATATACGATATTCTTTCAAACACAAAAAACAATATTCAAAGGCCGCGATATTGATAATAAATTCAAATTGGACATCCCTGCCTATGAGTTTTTTAATTGAACACCGAGATTACTAGCGTTAGTGCACAATAACTTTGGATCAATTAATGCATCTGTATACCAGTCATCAATTTCCTATTATGTGATATTTCTTTTTTTCAATCTGAAATAATGTGTACAATGAATAATTCCCAAATGCTATTGTTTTAACCGTCTGCCCTGCACACTTGAGGTAATAATTACATAGTATCGGAATATCGGCAATATCGGCCTTTTTGTAATATCGGTATCGGCGTTTGATAACCACTCAGATCAATTATTATGATTTAACAATTGCTAATTATTTGAATTACAGATATTGTGCGCTATGACGAAAGAATATTCATACCGTTGGATGAATATGGTTTTAAAGCATCAGCGATCGCCAAATGTCAACAGCTCGGTGGTGAACTTGCAAATATATACAACCAGATTCACATGGACAAGATAATTACATTCATTCGTGACAACAAGTTGGACGGGAAATCATATAAAGCCTTTCATCTCGGCATGACATACGACCCTATTGTGAGTTAAATATAAAAGCTTTATAGATTACGTTACTAACTCTCAATCCTTCCTCAATGCCTCTGCGCTAGTGAATCCGTATGCATGTGATGCAAGGAAAAAATATCATATCATGCTATTCGGGAGTACTGCTGCACACTAACACAGATGTATTTCTGTAATGTTTCGTCTGACCAAAATCAGAATTCCTCAGACAAGCAGTTTCCAACAATGACAAGAAAAGGACAACTAAGCAGTTTAAATATGGCGATAACTAAACTTGTTTGAAATTAATTGTGACCAAACAACCAGATTGCGACGTGTAAAATACGATCGGTTCTGGGCATGGAATAATTGTTCCGCGATGTATTTGACCTCACAATAAGTTTCACTAGAAAATTTGTCGAGGTGTTCCTGGCTCAGCTCGTGATAGTCGGAGTTCTTTTATAGTGATTATTTGAAAGACGTTGAAGTCCTTTTATTGATGTGATAAATTTTTCGCTTATCGAGCAGCGACACCTGTGATAAAAGTCTAACTTTGATACAGATTGAATAGAAAGAAGTCGAACAATTTATATAATTAAAAATAGTATCGTATAAAAATCAAATACATTACAAAAAACTCCGGACATCGGAAAATAGCGGCAACCTTTAACTTCCATAACTTTTGAATATAATCAAATTATTCTAATAATTGAACACTTAATATAGTTTCACTTCTTTGTTTTAGGATCAGATTCTTCGTCTCCAAAACGGAACTGTGACATCACACAGTGGTTTCAAATGGTACCCTGACTCTCCATTCGATGGGCAGAGTTATTCTGGTTTCACAAACATGATTATCGGGATTCATGAAGATTCAACAAGCCGATATCAATACATTCTCAACCACCCAGATTATTCCCGATACGTCCTGTGTGAAGTTTAAACTTTCATGCAACTGTTATAGCAAACTGTCAGGGTAAATTCAGGTGGTGGTAAATATTTTGTTATTAGTGATAAAACTATTTATAACTTATGAACATGTGTCATGAATATGACTGATTATTTTCACCGGCATATGAGCCACTTTTGAAAATATTCAGATATATTTATTTTTACAATTGAAGTGTGGTGTCACACCTGAAAATTAGGGGGGTAGGGAAATCACTGTATATTCCACCAACCCTACGAATTGTAACAAGTCGTACGCACCTATCACAGCAAATAATTGCAAAAGAGAAATAATTAAATGATAACAATTATTGCTAGGTTTTACTTTTCTTAGTTAAACGGTAAGAAGTGTCTCAAAATCCTTCAAATTCATCTTAGTGCGATCAGAGTTATGCGTGCATAAGCCCACCGATTAGTTTGGCAATTTTCTTTTTTTTTCAATTTTTTATTGCCGCTTTAGTTACGAAGTAAATTACATATTTATTTATGATAGAATGTATATATTTATCCCAGGGGAGGGAAAAGCCGATAACACGGCATATATGGCAAACCACGGCCTCTCGTACGGTTACCAGTCCATGTCGAGTATGGGATTATTTAGCTAGCTATTTGTTTTCATGTGCATGGGCGGTTGCGTGAACCCCCTTCGGTGCCGAGGATTCCAGAAATCCTCTTCACTATAATCATTCCCCACATTATTCTAACTGCGAAACCAGAGGGGGTAATCAGAGGTGCGGTGGCGAACGTATTCCTAACGTTAGCACGATGCGCCACATCCCCGAACTGAAAAAGAAAAGTCTTTGATTTAGCAACCATGTTCATTTATAAATCTACTGCAAACAATATTCCCCGCTGAATTTACAGTTTGATTACCAATTATTCTTTTTCTTAGATGTGCTCAAGAAATTTCATTATTTTTACCTTTTTGTTCATAATATGTGATAAATACAGGGTGTCAATAAAGTCCCTTCACAATTTCAATTTGATATAAACTCAGTTTTCAATATATCTTTAAGAAGGTTTGTTGTTTTTTAATTTTTATTCAGTAAATGTTAACTATTCTTACTTCATTTAATACATCAGTGAGGGCCAAAACAATAAATGGTATCGATAAATTTCCTTTGCAATTTTAAATTTTTTTTAAAGACTTCATGGACACCCTATATTATTGAATTGCTTTCAGTTGTCTTTGTTTGTTTAATCAAATATTCATTTCATGACAAAATTAATTCAAGAAATTTGAAAAAAAGTTGGAATTCCCTAAAAAATTGATTCATATTTAATCAAGGATAGTTCCATAAGCATATTCAATTTTTTTCAAGATTTGAAATTTAAAAATTATATTATACCGTGTCTCGTATTTCAAACGTCTGAATTTATCGTTATTTTTGCAAAACTTATCAATATTTAACCTCAAATCGTTTAACGCAGAGGTAGGCGAATTACGGCCCGGGGGCCGGATTCGGCCAACCGAAGTATTTCATTCGGCCCACAAGTATCTGCTGAAATTGCGATTATAGTTGTTATGGACATAAATTTCCGTTTAAAATATCGATGAGAATAACGTCATAATGACCCCGATTGTTACATTGTGCTTCTTATTAATATATGTACCAGTGATTATATGTACCACAAGAGGGCGTAGACAACTTTGAGGGGGCATAAAGTTAATCATAGTCAAAAATATTTGTTAGATTTGAACTTGTCCGCCTTATTTTGGTTTTTCAAATTTCTTTATTGTTTAGAGATTGCAGAGAGTCTGTTTTACTTGAATATTTTTTATCTTTATCGTGGAGCATGTTTAAGAGTTCAACTTCATGCTGCTAGTTCAGAGTATCTAGAACTGACATGGACAAACTATGGCCCGCGGGCCAAATCCGGCCCGTTGGGTAATTCAATTCGGCCCGCCTGATGCTGCCACAACCAAACTATAACCAAATTTTGAAGTTTTAGTCGAAAATAGCTCAAGGAATTTGTTGAAATCGCGGATAAATTTAGTGTCGGCACGAGGCTATTTAATTTCCACTTTGCTTTTGTAACTCTGTAAATATCATTCATAAAATGTAACTTTTACGTCACACTTACATGGCCCGCCAGTCTAGGTGATTAAAATATTTAGCCCGTGGCCCAAAACCCTGCCCACCTCTGACTCTAGAACCTTCCATACAATCGTTAGCATGTTTACTCCAATCCTAGGAGTCCATTGTTACGTAATTGTTATTACATTTATTTCATTATTTACGTTCCATTATTATTGTTAGCTAGTTATTTTTGAGGTGGGGCGCAAAACTTGACAATTTCTAAAAAAGGGGGTGCGGCTGTAAAAGTTTGAGAACCACTGATATAAACGTCAGTCTAGCTGTTGAACTCGCTTTTGTAAATAAACTGTCTTTTATTCATAGATTTTTCATATTAAGCTTTGAGCTTCCGCCCCAGTATCCAAGTCTATTGTCTGTAACTGGCCAACTCAGAAAAGTAATTGCCCACCCAGATTTAACGCAAAATAGATTCATTTGGAAAATTTAAGATTATCACGAGCTGAAATATACCTGTAGAATACTTGAGTATTTTGATATGAACATCTTCGGACGTAATTCATTCATTTATATTTTATTACTTTTCTGTAATAGTTTAAGTTTATTCTACAATCTTCAATACGCATTGACAAATAAAAACAGGATTTTCATATCAACATTGCTATAGAATTGTGTAAATAAAATATTACGCTAACATTGAAAATCTATTATCAGTTAGCAGTATTTTATTTTTTCATCATCATGTAAATATACTTTGTACAAACAATAAAAAAAAAAGGTAAAATTGTATATCCTGGTGAATTTGGGGGCGAACAACCAATACTGGTTATCAAGCAGCGACACCCGTGATTAAGTCTAACAGTAACCAGGGAAAGAAAAGTCAAACATTGTACCATTAAAACGTTCACAGCAACAAACAACCGACCCGTTACATACGAAAATACGACTCCGAGCACCGCCAAATAAGATAACCACAGTAACGACATTCTAAAGACAAGGGAGCACTGAATATGGCGCTCTAAAACGTGCGTGTGGAGGCAACTAATTTTGTTCGCCTATTTTACATCAAGTTGTGTAGATGGACTGAAACTTATGGGCAGGAGGTACATTCACTTGGCTAACACAGACAGTCCTTGAACCACTAATAGAACTAAAATAAGGAAAATCGGAATAAAATTATGGTCTAACCCTAACCAGGTACACATACTACGGCAGTACCCCGAATACTGTATCGTGTTCCCTTGAAAGTTCGGTGAAATTGAAACATTGCACCAAAAGTGCAATTCACGACCACGTAGTGCGTTTAATAAACTAAAATATATGATTGTTCACAGCGAAATTCCACAGTTACGTGTAACCCGCCTCGCCTCTCTTTGCCTGACGGTGTTTGGTGAATATTTTGCAAGTCCTATTTCAAACATCGATCATTAAATCCGTAGTCAGTGGGTACCCGCATTTAGAAATAAAACATTAAAAATCGTAAATTAATTTTGGAGAGAACTGTAACTCGCAGAGGTCAGAAGCGTCATAATGGTTTATATATACAAAAATACGCTTGCATGTAGCGCCGATCCAATGCATGAAATGTGAAACTATTACTTGGAATTAATTGTTAATAAAGTTGATATTTTATTGCCATTCAAAGATTATTTACATACGACGTGATTAGTGACGGGCAAAATCGTATTTTTTAATCGCGGTATTCGAATATTTTTAACGAACACCGAATAATGAGTGTTGTCATTTTAAACCACATTAATTGGGATGTCGGCCGCCGAAACGATCGCCGTGACAATATTTTTTTTTCGGATTTTACTTGAAGACTAAACACAATGCGGCGTTTTTTATTTCATAATTTTGTCATAATCGAAGGCTGCAGTATATTTTTTGTCACCGCGATCGTTTCGGCGGCCGACATTACAATTAATGTTGGTAATTAAACTATTTAGAGCACTTTTTTCTTCACTAGCAAATATTATTTCTCACGCAACGGCGGATATCGCAGTTTGTTTTTTATATTTCGAACAGAAATAGTTTACATCGGCGAAGATGTTAAACACAACTAATAAGGAGTGAATTCACAACACAAATTAATTTTATTCTGAATTTTATCTTCTGTTCAGGATTTGCATCACAGCTTGTAAATTACGGTCCTAATTTCTGGCGAACAATATTATCATGACCCTAGGATGCGATATTTGTGAAGCGGATAGTTGACATTTCTATACTTTTAGATCGTGTCCGTGTTACTTTCGTATCAAAATAAATAAATAAAAAATCCGCAAATTGGTAATCTCATGAATACTTAGTGTTGAGTATTCACGTAACTCAGCTTTGGTTTTAAACACTGATACTAAACACGTGAATAAATCGGCAATAATGACATTTCTGCGTGTACAAAATAATATTTTCCCCCAATATCTCGAGGAATTTCCATAAAATACATTATTTACCTGTCTTACTTATCTGGTTCGACGTTTCTAAATTTACAAAAACGGCGTTGACACGCTTTATGCAGAATTACGAATTGAAAGATATGACGCAAAATGGCAAGGAATTTTTTTTTAATTCATCGTTTCTACATGTTAGCGATAGCCGTCGGTATATTGTAGTAACTCGTAAGAAATTATTGTTTATAAATTCTATTTTGCTTTTCAATGCGTTGCGATTTGTATTAATAAAGTGATTACGTCGGTAACCCTTCTCTCCTCTCGAGCGCTCATAACGGCTCTAAACTTCGTTTCACGGAGAGATAGAAGAATACGACTTCCCGAATTGCAATCAACAATTACACATTCTTATTTATCATTATCAGCGCCGAATAAAAAAGATAACATATCGTGAAGACAAAAAAAGTCTGGCGGTGTTGATTGCGTTACGGTTATAACGCACAGAATAATATCGTAAACACGATGCGCGATCGTAAACGGGCGCTTCAGAAGTGTTTGTACCAATATGGAGGTAACAAATTTTGTTTGCCCACTTTACATCAAGTTGTATAAAGGGACCGAAACCTATGGGCAGGGGGTATATTCATTAGGCTAACACAGACAGTCCCTGAACTCGCAATAGAACTAAAATAACGAATAAAATTATGGCCGAACCCGGTACACATACTACGAGAGTACCGGTATGGGATTACTCAATGGTGAGGAAGGCGTAACTGACCAGAAGTTACGTGAAATCCCTACGCAGAGAGAAGTTCTGCAATCCTCTCGCATATAAGTATTTCCACAGGATTCGGACCCTCTCAAGGTAAGGTGGCAACTCTTAGCACGATGTGCAAAACCACCAGAATTTTTTTTTTCAACAACACTTTGGAAAAACCATTCGCCTTTGGTAATATTAGATAGCAGCTTAAAGCGACCAGGGGGCCAGTTTGGCATAAGGTGCTCAAAAGCATTTTTATGAAAGTTCTAACAAGTGAGGGTACTCCAGAAGTATGTGAACCAAGATGTCGGACACCGGAACGCAGTATGTGTACCAGGTTAGGGTTAGGCCATCATTTTATTTCACTTTTCCTTATTTTAGTTCCATCACGAATTCGGGAACTAGTCAAGTATTTGTACCTAAAATTATGGCCGAACCCTAATCTGGTACACATACTACGTTTCGGTGTCCGCCATCTTGGTTCACATACTTCGGGAGTACCCAAGTGAGGGACGCCTATTTGTCACACTCAGATGGACTAATCCTTGAACCCACTTCAAAAACAATGATCACTCTTTTCTTATATCACTATTTATATTTTATCGCTAAGCAAAGACACCCCAAGCTCACCAAGAATTAATATAAAATCAATTTCTAATTAATGGCGATTCAAAACTAAGCAAAATTATTTTTCCCAAACGATTCAAAAATTTTTTTGTTAAATAAACTATTTTGGGCTAAATGTTCAAAGTTAGCTTATTGGTGGTTTTTCATGAGAGAGGAAAGTTGATAACATGGCTATTAAATATCATAAAATCCTAGAATCTCTGAATTTTGATAATTGAGGGAGAAATAATAAGACAGCTTTCAAAAAACATAAAATCAACAAATCCCAGAATTTTGACTTGGTAATTTGTGGTTTTTAAAGGCATTATTTGCACAATATGGGATTAACTATCATAGCTTTATAATCCAGGGACGGTCAAGATAAAACTCCATTATTCCGAATACATTCCAAAAACACAATTCGATTTTATCAAATATATCTCAAATTGGCTGATGTTCATATTTATCCCAGAGGAAAGGAAAGCTGATAAGGCGGCCATATGGTCAATATGGCGAACCACGGTATCTTGTCTGGCTACCGTTTCATGTTGGGCATAGAACTAGTTAGCCAGGTTTTTTTTCCAAATGCATGGGCTTGCAATGAAATAATATATCTTCATGGAGATGAATTCGGAAGAGCACAAAAAATATCAAAATTTTTCTTTACCATCAGCAATTTTTTAGAATGTATTCTGGTCGAATGCTGGATGTCAAATCTTTGGAAAAAAAATTCCAAAATTGAAGAAAACGGGCGCTCCGGAAGTATTCATACCAAGATGACGCACAACGTGAACAACCCTAACCTGGTACACATACTATGTTCAGGTTGTGCGCCATCTTGGTACGAATACTTCGGGAGCACCAGAAAATGTACTGAGTGCGTCTGGCTATTAAATTCAATTTCGGCATCCCTGGCTATATTAATCAACATAAAATAAAAATCCAATTATTAGAATAATCTCAAATCTTAATACAAATATCTAAATACAATCAGATGTATCCAAAAAGCAAAGATAGTTCTATAAATTTCATGTTATGGGTGATAAAATGACATAACAAGTTTTACATCAGTGGTTGGGCGCCAAAAGGGGGCGTGGACAAATTTTTGAGGGGGCGTGAAGCTAATTCAAAATGAAATTATTTGTTAAATTTGATTCCGCTTATTTTGGATATTTACATTTCTTTTGTCTACATCAAATCTCGAAGCAGGGTCTGCCGGAAGTTGCACTAATAAAATGTGTTAAATTTATTTCCCTATATGTGCGGATAGCAACAGCCATTTTATGGATTACAAAGCCTTCAAAACGATATTAGTCTGTTAGAACCTATCCAAAAACACGCTAAGAACACGTTCACCAAATAAGGTACCAGAATGTATTTCTATTCCAACAATTTTGATAAAAATCGACACAAAAAAAGTTTGAGTTTAAAGCCAGCCATCCCTACTAAAAATTAATTCTTTTAAACAATTATAACTGTCAGAAAAAAAGTTTATTTTATTTAAGCTCTTCTAATAAAAGTCTTATTATGATATATGTACAAGATGTGGAGCACACTAAATGGACAAACTAAAAACCAAGCAATAGTAAAAAATAGTTCAAGTGTAATATTATTAACATCTGACACAGAGATTCCCAAATTTTTTGAGCCGAGGACCCTCTTTGTGAATCTTATTTTCGACAGACTCCCATCCTACGTCGTATCAATTTATGTGTCTAACCAACGAGATAATGTTTCTTTTGATGAAATAAAACTCACAGAAAGTCTGAATCAATACATACTAATGTTGAATACTGGCAGGCTAACAGCAATTGATAAGATTATGGACAATTGGTATACGTTTCAGACTTTTTCCATATTTTTGCGGACGCCCTGTACAGTCATCACAGACCATAGGGGTCTAACATAAATTTAAGCCGGTAATCAAACAAGCATAAAATTTCTGAGGTTTCAAATAAAATCAGAAAATACCATCGTTACACCATTAAATATATGATATACAGGGTGTCCATAAAGTCCTTTTATAATTTTGATTTTGTTACAAAATCAGTTCTCAACATATTTTAACCAGGTTTGTTGTTTTTAATCAGTAATTGTTCAAGTATTTTTACTTCATTTAATACATCTGTGAGGGCCAAAACCATATATGATAACAAAAAATCTAAGACTTTATGGACAACTTTATGGACAATCAAGGGTGTCAAGACGCAGTGGCGACTGTCAAAATGTTACAAAAAAATGGTCTCTGAGCTAAAAGTATTTTAATTAAGGAGTTACAGCAATTTGAAAATCAAAAATTTGTGTTTTCCATTTTCTCAAAACAGGTTTATAAGTTTCGCTCATTTGGGATGATTCCCTTGATAATTTCATCATAAAAATGACAAATTGAAAAATAAAAAAACTATAAACATTTGAAAAATGCTTAGAGCATCTTCATACATAAAAAAAAATTTCTGAAAATCTTCAATATTCAATTTTATTCAAATTCCCCCTTAAGAACAGTTTTCCCTAAATACCATCACTTTTTTATTTTATCCAAAAAAGAAATCCTATAAAAATTTGAAAATGCTTAAGCATCTTCATACATGAAAATTTTTTCCATAAATATCATCAAAATTAAATTCTATTCAAAAAATAAGTCCTAAATACATTTAATAAATGTTTAAGCATCTTCATAAAAGAAAATTATTTCCTAAATATCATCAAAATCAAAGTCTATTCAAAAAAGAAACCCAATAAAATTGTTGTCTGAGAAATACATAGAAAAGTTTTGCTTGGTTTTTAGTATGTCCCTAATCATCTCGCTCTAATCTTTCCTCTTATTCTTGTTCTCGTTGCTTGCCAGAAGAATCATGATGCGACGGAAGAGGTTGATGAAGTCCAAGAAGAGATCGACAGAGTGCCTGGAAGTAATTAATTATAATTAATTAGTGAAATAACGGTTGGTTTATCGGCACTCCCGAAGTATGTGAACCAAGATGTCGGACACCGGAAAGTAGTACGTGTTCTGGTGGTTGCGATCTTGGTTCGCATACTTATTGATTACCAAAAGTTGTAATTCAATCATGGATTATAAAAGTTGGAGTATATTGTAACCATTGATCTAACACAGTGCTTCCCAACTTTATTAGTCTGCGGCCCACTTTTACTGCCATTACTCAGCTCATGACCAACTCATTCTTTCTGTGCGACCCACAATGAGATGTTAATATATAAGGAATGACCACTATTGTTACTTATCGATCTAAGCATGTTGATAGGTATTTGTCTGTTTGTTTGTTAGACACTTTCGTACGTTACACGATATCACACTAAAGCGAGGTTGAATCTGCTCCAAATTTTGCATGTGCATTCAACATACCTCGGACCAGAAGCCTTTTGATATTGGATGAATTATGTCGTATAATTAGCGAGTTATTAATTAATTAGTGATGGGGCACGCGGTGTCGCTATTGTGTCAAACAAATTTTTTTTATTTCTATTTTTTCATTGACGAGTAAAATATTGAACATGCAGAAGATCGATAAGTCGGTGGTCTCCGATCACTATCTAGTTTCATAATTGTTACATAATGATAATAATGCCATAATTTCCCTATCTAATCAAAACAGTAACATTTAGAAACACTCTGCAACCCACCTAAAAACATCTAACACTTACCAGATGTAGTCATTATCGCCATTGACGTGTTTCTCAACGATAAGTTGGGTGTCGTAAAGAATAAATCCGGAGAAAATCGCAATTCCGATGTACAAGTTTGCCTGGAAGAGGAGAGTCGATCCAACAAAGATGTTCAGAAGAGAGGCAAAGAGAAGCATTGTCAATCCACTACCACAGATACCTGAAAAAAATAAAAGGCAGAGGAATTTATTATTATTTAGACCAGAGGTGTGCAATCTTTATTACAGGGGGGGGGGCTGTGGGGCCAGATGGAAGTAACTGGGTGAAGTCGTGGGTTGTGGCTGTTATCATTTAGGCCAGGGGTGTGCAACCTTTATTACAGGGGGGGGGGGGTCTGTGGGGCCAGATAGAAGTAACTGGGTGAAGTCGTGGGTTGTGGCTGTTATTATTTAGGCCAGGGGTGTGCAACCTTTATTACGGGGGGCCAGATAGAAGTAACTGGGTGAAGTCGTGGGTTGTGGCTGTTATTATTTAGGCCAGGGGTGTGCAACCTTTATCACAGGGGGCCAGATACAAGTAACTGGGTGAAGTCGTGGGTTGTGGCTGTTATTATTTAGGCCAGGGGTGTGCAACCTTTATTACAGGGGGCCAGATACAAGTAACTGGGTGAAGTCGTGGGTTGTGGCTGATATTATTTAGGCCAGGGGTGTGCAACCTTTATTACAGGGGGCCAGATACAAGTAACTGGGTGAAGTCGTGGGTTGTGGCTGATATTATTTAGGCCAGGGGTGTGCAACCTTTATTACAGGGGGGGGGGTAGATACAAGTAACTGGGTGAAGCCTCAGGCCGCAACTTTAAGATATTTAATTTAAGATATCCCTGCTAGTAGTTGAAAGCCGAAACATTTTGGTTATTGCTCTTCCGTTGTTCGCTTCAAACAAGCTAGCTGTTGGAGCATTGTAACGTTAAATTTGGGTCAAGTATAGGCTTTTCAATGCTAGGAATTGGGATGACCTGCGGGCTGCACATAGGCTTGCATGTAATTTACAGAATTCATTTTCAGTTACGTCGGCAAATTTGGAATTATGTAAAGTCATACTTATTGACAAATCACACTCAGTTCTAGAAAACATAACGTGTACTCGCATACATTTGGCGCAGCCCAACTCTTCCTGGTGAACAAACGTTAAAGACAAGTGAAAACTTCCAAAGATGGAGATTTATGCGCCTGCGTGAAAGGCGCATACTTATTGACACACTCAGTTCTAGAAAACATAACGTGTACTCGCATACATCTGGTGCAGCCCAACTCGCTAACAAACGTTAAAGACAAGTGAAAACTTTGTGAAATTTTTGAATTTTTGAAATTTTTCGACGAACAAAAAACACGTCGACAACGTGTGCGATTGCGTGTGTGCTTGCTGGGAGTTTGCCTGAAGCAAGATCACCAGATCCTAAATTAGAAGTGAACAGAGTAATGATAGAATGGCTACTCTTCCAACTATAATCCAGGAATAGGGACCTTGTTTTGACAAAAAATGTACAAAAAAATTGTTTAAAAAATCGCCACATACCTCCCAGATAAAGCAGAGATCTTCTTTGTGCATACAAGGCAGCGAGAGTGAAGCAGGCAAAAATAACCGAAGTTGTCATAAATGCAGTGACCACAATCTGTGGGTTAATTTGGATTGTCAAGTTGATCAGGGGTCCTAGTCCAATACCTGGAGTAATACAAAAAAATATATAGAAATCAAAATGTCTGATTGACCCGAAATATATTTGAATCAGAAAAAGTCAAAATGAATAATGTAGTATTCCAAATATAAATGACATAATATCCTCGCAAATAAGCCGAGTTCAAAAAGTTGTCAAACTAAGGGGACCAGGTTAGGGTTACGGGGGCTCCCGAAGTATGCGAACCAACATGGCGGACATCGGAACGTAACATGGGTAACAGGTTAGGGTTAGGCGATAATTTTTTTCCAATTTTCCTTATTTTAGTCCTATTATCAGTTCGAAGACTAGCCAAGAGCCTCCCGTAGTATTTATACCTAAAATTATGGCCTAACCCTAACCTAGTACACATATTACATTGCGATGTCCGCCATCTTGGTTCGCATACTTCGGGAGCACCGGGTTATGCCATAAGTTAATTCTGATTTTCCTTATTTTAGTTCTATTACGAGTTCAAGGACTGTCTGTGGTAACCAAGTGAATAAACCCCCTGCTCATAGGTTTCAGTCCCTTTACACAACTTGATGTAAAATAGCCAAACAAAATTAGTTATCTCCATATTGGTACAGACCAGTGTTAACTCTAAGCAAATTATGAGTGCGAAAGTGCTTCGCAGTCGAAAAAAAAAGTGCGAAAGTGCTTTTGCCGATTTTAACAAGTTAGGTGCCCTAGCCTTTCATATACCCATTTAAAACGGCATAGATACTCGAAAAAGCGCTCCTCCGGTTAATATTATGAATTACAGAGAAGCCTTTTCGTTAACCGAGTTCCCTTTAAGCGAATTCATGTTTAATTAAAACAAGCGAATTCATCGGCAACGAAATGACATCTGCTAACACCTGCCGCGGACAAAACTTCCATGCAATGTATCACGGTTTTAGTTGCTTACTCGCGTAAACAGCAAAGACTTTCACATTTGTTACTCCTTCCATCTAACAGACACGAGGCAGGCTGGAAACCATATTAGTTACAGGGTGGATCGTTTGTACAAATCCCGTGCAAAATAATCCCCCCCCCCAAATATAAATAGCAATCAACTAATTAGGGTTAGATGCGCTGGAAATTCAACTTTTCGATTTATCACTAAACCTAATCTGATAATTATTAATTTGTGATTTTGATCCACTTTGAAAGTCGCCACCCGCTGTTGTAAAAGATAGGTTAACCTACGTTCTCTCCGAAATATTACGCAGGATACTCCCCTGTTTTAGGAGATAGGTTGACCTACTTTCCTTTCAAACTTTTTCCTCCGAAATATTACACAAGATCACTTTGAAAATCCTCCCGGTTCGTGAACTAGCGTGACCTAATTTCTCATTTACATTTATATTATACTATTTCAGAGCTTACCCAAAGACAAGTAATTTTTAAATGTCGACATGCCTTGGTTTGCGTGCGAGTTAGTTTAAATCGGGCAGAAAACATCATATATTGGCAAAATGTTCAGTAATGTCATGTACTTTCAGCATTCATAAATAGCACTCTTTGTAATGCTGCTGACCTAGTATCAAATATTCCCATCACAACGCCACTTGCGAGGTTCCCATATATTTAAATTACACTAATAGGAACGATGACAACAAAGAGTTTTCTTTTGCTAAGGTACACTAAATATAACGAGGGTGATTTTTGAGAAAAACATGAATATAAAAAATAAACGAATGATATGATAGTGGATCCCAAATAATTTTGAGAGTGTCTCGAAATACCAATCCATTTGATAAATAATTTTTATTCGACCACATGACCGCTGATATCCTGAAAATTAATGTTGGAAGAGAATTACGCATTCTCAGATATCGGACATCCAGTCGCGATATTCAATCGTTTATATGCACAAATCTCACTTTAATAGTAATTGCTACCCAAGTTTGTTAAATTTAGAAACCAACAAACAGAAAATAACTTATCCTAAAACACAATTAAAATTCAGTCGGCAATAAATTCGTCGCCAAGACGATGTCGTACAAAACAAAAAGATTTGGTCGCGAGAGTTACGTGTGTTGTTTTTAAAGCAGAATGTAAAAAATTTTATAATTAATAAACGGGAGTTACGACGCCCTTAACACATCGTGTGTATTAAACTTCCCTGGTAAGTACTATTATTATTGTACTTATACACCTGTTGGAGTATTTGGACAATTTCGAATTTAAAATAAATGAAAACCCGACATATAATAAAGACGCAAAAGAAAAATGAACATTTATTGAAAAAGTTATTATTTAAGAAAGACAACATGATCGTACAATTCCGCCAAAACCTCGATGTTCGCAAGTGAGATGATAAATAAATACTTCCCTGTATTTGATCAATTAACTTTAGCCTATCGTTGTTCTGCCAACAAACAGCCGGGTGCAAAATATTTCCGTCCTGTGATATGCTCACAAATATTCTCGATATTAATATCATACCCTCGCGTATGTACTTTCTATTAGCTCTTTAGTGATCCCTTCCATCCTTGGCCAAGTCATGTTTCGAATATGTGAACATTTTATTCGACCATACATGGCCGGCGGGATGTTAAAATTGTAAACAAGAGAGGGGTAAAATCAATCGCGAGTTTCGTTATAACGGCTCGTTTACGGATTGTTGCGCCTGTTATCGTCGAAAATGATTACATTTGTTGTATTTTGAGGCATTTAAGCAGTAATAATTGGGGCATGACATCATCAAAATCGTCAAGTGAGATCTTGAAATTGCAAATTCCGTAAATAGGATTGTGAATTATTCGGTAACGAATTCAGCTTTAATGACCGTCGGGGTATTGTTTTGTTGAAAATTATTATTAATGTGAGAGCGCCAAAAACATACAGTCCATACCGATGCGACTGCAATTTATATGGTCGCAATTGGTGTGGCGCGTTTATTAATAGTGTAAAATAAATTAAACGAATATCAATTATAACCAAGCCTGTCAGCGTGTTTATTTTCTGTGGGCAGGAATCGTAAAATACCACCTTGAGACAAATTCACTACTATTATAAAATCTTAATTTTCAGTTATTATCGTTATACAAATACCGTGCCGCCCCACACTCGTCCAAACGTGTGTCGAGCTTGAACGACAGGAACAGATTCATCGACGACCTTAATTAGGGAAAATATGTATTTTATTGGGAATGCAAAATAAAAGTAACAAAACGCATTTTTTTGTGATATAACTTTGTATTTTCGGAAACGGGTTGCCGTGAAAGGTAAAATTTGATCTAAATTAATCGCAAAAAGGTTTTATTTTAAATGTAACAAAACACATTTTTCGAGATACAACTGTATTTTCGGATACCGGGTGTCATGAAGAGTAAAATATGATCTGAATTAACCGTAAATAATGTTTCATTCCAAATGTATCATGACGCATTTTTTGCGATATAACTTTGTATTTTCGGAAACGGGGCGTCACGAAAATTATTAATCTAATGTTTTATCTATCGTCTAACTCAGTGGTTCCCAAACTTTTTTGACCATCGCCCCCCTAAAGTAGTTTATGCAACTTCATCGCCCCCCCTGCACTACAAAAAATTATAAAGTCAGAAACGAATATATTACAGACCAAATAAGAAGACAAATAATAGTTTATGGTGTTTTTTAATGAAATAGATGAGCTTGGTGTTCTTCAGCGAGTTATTTATTATATCTAAAATTACCCCGTTTACTGATGGAAAGGTGATTTCGTTGTTTTAATAGCAATAGTAGCACGGCTGAAAACCCCTTTTTCACCATATAATAGATCGAAAATGAAAGAATCCAGGGTTCTACCTCCTCAAAAACCGCCGTGTACTCTTGCCTTATAGCATTTCACTTCCTAAATTCACCCCATTTCACATTAAAATAATAAGAACAAAGTTAATTTTCCCAAACTTATATATAATAATGATTTTCGTACATCTCATTCATTCGTACAGCCTGATGACCTGCACCAAAATATTTCGGAAAAATTCATCCCTGATTCCTCATCCTATCACGGCCTCCAGTCCGATCACCATTCCATAATTAACCAGCCATTTGTTTTTTGATTCATTGACTCGGATGTGGAAGAAGCCGTGACTGACTATCGGCTACGGCCCAGGGGTCGGCAAATTTTATGTCGCTCGCAGGACAAAATTCAGGGTTGCTAGTCTTTTGCGGGTCGCATATATTTTTTGAAAGTTAAAAACGGAACAGCACGCAAAAACTGCGACAATTCGTGAACTCAACTCAGTCGTCTTATTAAAAAAATATTACAATGATATTTAATGTGACACTGTCTCGTTGCTGCATCACGCTGGATAGCTTTACGACGCCAAGATTGAAACATTTTCTAAATGGGCATCACCAAACCCACTTCTTTGCTTGTTCTTTGTAATGTTCATTTTCGAAAATAATGATTTGCACAAATATGTACTTCCAAACATCGAAGTGAATATTTTCGCATGATTTGTGAAATATTGATGAATATTTTCTCTCTAAGAAGATACATTCTTACAAAAATTAAGCAGTGATGAATCTCTCGATTAGAATATGAATTTTATTTTCTTATTGCTTCGCAATATATTCGAATATTTACTGCGCTATTGAACCCCTGCACTCAGCATCAACTTTTCTGCGTGTTTCCATTTGTCTAATTATAATTACATTGTAGGCTCGTTAAACGAGTGGCTGTTCACTAGATTGTTAGGATATAGTATAATTTAGTCTAAACGTGTCTCACGATAAATTCTGTTACGTAAAAAAATGTAATTTACTCCTCGAGCGTAGATTATAAATAAAAAATTTTCATCGTCAAAACCGCCGTTTGGATATTTCCCCGGGCATAGACTTCCTTGTTTACTTCGTGACATTGGCCAATCAGCAAAATGCAAAAAAAGGGAACAATGCCCCCTTTCGCATCCGCTCAGGCGCCCAGACACTCTCACTCAGATAGATTTTCAGGCGTGGTCGTGAACACTACCTCATTTTCGCATTTTTGAATTATATTCGTTAGTTTTTAGTTGTTTTTCGGAAATTTAAATATAAATCAAATAAGTCAATGATTACTTTGTCTTTCCATGAGTTTCAGTTTAAATACAGCAATCAAAAATTAGTGTAGAAATAGCTGTGATAGACTAGGCTAAAATTCTTTATCGGTACTTTTAAAAAACAGATTGTTGAATGGTGTGTATTAGAATGATAGTTTGAAACAAATACCCCATTTTAAAGGCAACAACTCGCGAAACCACTCTTAAAATAAGCCCCGAAACTTTTAAAATGGTAAAGTATGGGAAGAATTTTCCGCAGTCAAAGGTCGGGGAAGGGTCCATTCAGTGAATCGTCCAGGGCCAGATTATTTTCCTCCGGCCGTATTTTGCCGACCACTGGGATACGCAAACTACCTTACCTTACTGCGAAGACGAGACCAGAAATCCATTCGCGTGAGAATATCGCCCACATGATTCAAGCCTGCCAATGCACACAGAGTACAGAATTAAGTGCGCCGAACATAAAACAGGTTTTGCGAAATCGCCCCCCTATCGCCCCCTTAGACTTTTTCGCCCCCCTCTGTTTCGTTTTCGCCCACTGGGGGGCGATATCGCCCACTTTGGGAATCACTGGTCTAACTAACGTCTGGAACACATCATTTCCGGGGAGAACTCTAGCCCGCGAAACGTCATTTAATTTAAAATAGAGAATGTTTCACGCATTTCAAAACGGAAAATCACCAGTAAGTGGACAGGGATTCAACCCTCCGGATTCAGTATTCTATATCCCCCCTGTCAGAACTTTCTGAAGAATGGAACAAAGAACCCGTCAAACCGCCGCCGAAGGAGGGGAGTATTTTTTGCACTAATAATTAGGGCGTGACAATATCAAAATCGTCAAGAAACTGGTGAATTTGCAAATTCCATAAATAAAATTGTGAATTGCTCGGTAACATTTTAGCTATAATTATCGCCGGGGTATTGTTTTGTTGAAAACAGGTTGAAACTTGAGGGAATTAGTTACAATTAGCGCCTGACCTCTATTAGGCACTCGAGCACTCGAAAAAAAAGCACTCGAACCCAATCTTTTTAGCATTAAGTCGCATGAGTAAAATATCCTGTAAAAGAAGTGCTGTTCATTAACGTCATCTCGTCTTATGACCACGCAGAAATGCCTTTATTGCCGAATTATTCAATCACTATTTTAAATCAACATTCAGGATTGTCACAATTTCAGATTTGCGAAGTTTATCACCATAGAAATACATGAGAAAGTTAATTATCGTCTTAATAAATATCTGCATCACGGTATGGACAATAATATTACCATTCCCATAAAATTGGGACAGTAAATTTACAAATCTTGATAGGTAATATTAAAGCCAACGCAAATGTTAATTTGAGTCCTCAATGTCTTCAACAGCTGTTGCCGATGTGAACGAACGGGTAAACCCGAAATATAAAACTTCGATGTCCGCCGACCCACAAGAATTCATATTTGTAAAAAAGAGAGGGCGGGAATATAGATTACCCAAAACCTGGATATCGCCGCCAAAACGATCGGTGACAAGAACAATTAGCGATTACAACGGAATTAACCAGTAAAAAGGCTTTGTTGTCAATTTTTTAATGTTTTCACCACGTTTATTCGGTACTCCTTAAAAATATTCGATTCAAAAAAATATTGAATTTTGCCCACCGTCCTCGCATATCAATGAGAAATAGTTGTGTAAATATTGCAAAATTACGGAAAATGCCACTCCTTTCAACATTGTGATTACAATAAAATGGCACTTAATGGTATTCTGTGAATTTGGTGATTTTGCAAATCTGTGACATGCTGCTAAAAGTTTCGTCTGATTTGAAAATCGTGCAGTTTGGTCACAATTCATCCGAAGTGACCATAACACATAACACTTTTATAGTCATTTTGAATTCATCGATATCATTGATAGTCACATGACCACTCACTTCAAAGAAACGCACTGCACTGCCAATTATTCCAACATCTGGTTTCAATCACCCGGGAGCGTTTTTTGCGGGAGAAGCGGAATCGGTGTGCTTGTATAATAATCATATTATAAACAAGAATTTTGCCGTTAATATGTCTGCATCTCATAGGTTAGAATTCCCGTAAATATCGTTATGATATGCAGATTTGAGTTACAAAAGTACTAGTATGTTACTTATTTGTCAACTTAATACTCGAAAATATTTGTTAACTTTAAAATTTTTATTCCATTCAAAATCGGAAAAAAGTGCTATTTCTCTTCAAAATCGGAGAAAAGTGCTATTTCGCAGTCCCTAAAAAAAGTTGCGAAAGTGCTTCGCAATTTTCGCAAAAAAGTGCGCTAATAGTGAACACTGGTACAGACATTTCTGGAGCGTCGTGAAATGTTCTACAGTCTACACGTCCAACTTACCGGTTGTGAAGCCGAATGCAGACAATATTGCAAGTCTCTTCATTTGGTTTTCTTTGTTGTGCGCAGTCGTTGCCAGCCAGATCATCAGGCCTATGGACACTAGTGCAGTCAAGAGTCCTCCCTGATTTCAAAAATAAAAAAGCGTTGCATTACGGCATAGAACAGGGGTGGTGGGCAAGGGTTTCAGATATCGGGCCAAAAATTTTGCCCATCCTGACTGGCGGGCCATGTGAGTGTGGCATAAAAATTAAATTTTATGAACAAAATTTACAGTGTTACAAGAGCAGCCTTGTGTTGAAATTGAATTTAATCGCAATTACCACCAATTGCTTAACCCTTTTTTTTTATTAAATTTTTGATGTCAATGTTTTGCTATTAAACAAAATGTAGAAAATTTTGAAAAAAAAGCAAGGCATTTTAGATAACTTGTTGCCCGGTGACACCAAAATTAAATAGTCAGCTATTCTAACTGAGAAACGAATCCCGGTACCCGAGGCAAGATAAATAAACATTAAAAAATTTGGTGCTCCCGAAGTATGCGAACCAAGATGTCGGACATCGGAACGTAACATGGGTAACAGGTTAGGGTTAGGCGATAATTTTTTTCCAATTTTCCTTATTTTAGTCCTATTATCAGTTCGAAGACTAGCCAAGAGCCTCCCGTAGTATTTATACCTAAAATTATGGCCTAACCCTAACCTAGTACACATATTACATTCCGATGTCGGCCATCTTGGTTCGCATACTTCGGGAGCCCCGAAAATTCGATCAAATAAAAACATATGTCGGAGTTAGATTCTATGCCCTGGGACTGAGTGTACCTTGTTTGAAAACAGGATGAAAAACATAAAAAGGATTTTTGTGGTGGCTTAGGAACGAAGATAATTATACTTATTCAAAAATGAGTGTTTGTCAACGTCAAGACGTTGAAATTTGAAAAAAAAATGTTGTAAACACTAAAGTGAATTCATTGTTAGAAAAATGTACTTACGCAAGATAAAAATATAAAAAATAAACACTCAAAGCAAGAAAATGAAGTCACAGAATAAAACAAGGCGCTCCAGAAGAATGTGCAACAGGATAGCGGACACCGGAACGTAGTATGTATACTAGGTTTGGATTAATCTATAAGTTTATTCAATTTTCTTTAATTCAGTTTTATTACAGTTCGGCGACTAGACAAGTGACTCCTGTAGTATTTGTGCCTGAAATTATGGCCTAACCTGGTACACATACTATGTTCCGGTGATCGCCATTTCGGTTCACATACTTCTGAAGTACCTAAAATAAATCTTTAACATTGTTACATATTGTGGAACATTCGTGGCTTCTTGTACATGCCTTGTTCAGAGCAAACAGCTTAAAGAACAACAAACTAGATACACAAACCTGGCCGAACTGCATCTTCAAATTCATGTAGGCTCCAACTCCGGCACTTGCCATGGTGATCATCAGGCAAGTGTAAACATTCTTGAGATGTTTCTTTGTCTCTGTGGACCTGATGGAAAATATAGGTTTTTTTTACTCTAAAATCAGTACTCCTGTAGTGTGTGTACCAGGTTAGGGTTCATAATTTTTATTTCGATTTTCCTTCTTTAAGTTCTATTATGAGTTCGCTGACTGTCTGTGTCTGCCGAGTGAATATACTTCCTTATTTCAGTTCTATTACGAGTTCAGGGACTGTCTGTGTTGGCCAAGTGAATATACCACCTGTCCATAGGTTTCACTCCCTTTACACATCTTTATATAAAGTAGGCGAACAAAATTAGTTACCTCCATATTGGTACACACACTTCTGGAGCACCCCACAATCAGTATAATAGCAGGGATATCCAAGACCGACTCAATATTCGAAATGATTAGAAATTCGATTTATCAAATTCTTGAATTTCGGAATAATTAGGGAAATATAAGTCTCAGAATATGATCAAAGAGACCATCATTTGAAACTTTATGAATAAGTTATTCACAGTTGTTAGAAATACGACAATGCAATTTTTAAACGACTAAATTAACAGCCCTGATTAAAATAGTACCCTATCAACGTTTTTTTTTCAGAGCCTGTTTTCAAGTTGGTGCAATGATGAATTTTATGGTTGATGGGCATGTAAATTAACGTTTTTTAAACTTTATTACATGTTATGCTCGCCTTCCAGGTATCTCTGCATTTTGTTTGTATGTCTGCTTTTTATGCTGTTTTGTTTTTAAGTCAGAGTACCGAAATAAATGATTGATTGAAGATAGATTCCGATTAAACTTTTGATGAAAAAATTACTTACAGTTGTGAGAAGTCTGACAATGCAGACAACTTTATTGGTCGATTCCCAAAGAGAGTATCCATAATGATGTCACAATAATCTAGTTTTAATACTTTATAATATGTATCTGTGAAATAGGAATAGTTAATAATTAACAGTTATCTCTAGGGAGAAAAGGTCGACAAAATGGTGTGATCACACAGTATACGTTGAACATGGTCCATTTTTTTAATTACCTGTAGGGTAGCAGTTCCCAAACTTTTTGATAAGGGAAAAACTCATGGTGCACTTACACAAAAAAAAATGAGTAGCCTACTCCCGTAGTGTGTCTTCATATCTCAAAAATATATACCTCTAAGAAACCTCGTTTTCAATACTGCAATTAGATGAAAAAGTAATTCTGTTAATTTTCGAAGCGCACCTGTGCCCTACTCCTTTAGGAATTTCTGCTCTAATGGACACCACCTATCCTATTACTATACATTTAATTTAGAGGTGAACACTTAATTTATACATATTCGAACCTCGAGTTAGAGGCCTGGTGTTATAGTAGCATACAAAATCTTTTGACATTAAAAATTACTCTTATCAAGTATTTTCAATAATTTAAAACAAATGGCACTTAAACAGTGCTCACCCCAGTCTTTATCAAACCAAGATGTATGCAATTGAGAGTTCAACATAGATACTCATGAAGTATTTGACTTTGTTACTGTTTCTAAATTCTAATGTTCATCTGAAAGTGCACACCCAGTCTCCGCTAAACTAGAACTAATTTGAACTATATCTTAAAAATCAATACGTCAAAGAAACCTCAGTTCCAATACTTCAATTAGGTGAAATAGTGATCAATACTTGTAAAGTAGGTAATCAATACTTAGTATGAGGAAGTAAAAATGTCAGTCAGGGTTGCGTGAGATCTATTACCTTTCCATATATACAGTAGAAAATCTAATTACAAAATTAATTTAAGCCCTTTTGTGAGTATAAAATTTTGTAAATATGGAGACATTTTACATGTAAATGCCTCAATCCATTACAATCTCCTTACGAAATGAATTCATTCCAGAAGCCCCTTCGTAATTAGCAAATTTTGTAAATATGGAAACATTCTACATTCTACTCATAAATGCCCTAATCCGTTACAAGACCCCACAAAACGCAGACATAATATTTGTACAAATTATACATACAGGTAATTGGCTAAAACTGTACACACTCTACACTTTGGATAAGATCAATCTAGTATGAGAATTGCTTAAGGAGTAATAAATTAATGAAACAAAAACAACCTTTCTGCACTGAATATATAAAGTTTCAAGATGTGAATTTTTCAAAGTTGTGAGTTAGAACTTCGTACTTTCAAAGTAAAGTAAAATAGGTTGTTATTGATCTTAGCTTAAGGAAGTATCAGTCTGGGTTATGTGAGGTTAATTACTGTTTCTTCCTCTTAATATGCGTAACATAATGAAGCTATAGCATAACAGCTGGGCTACTCAACTATTTTCAACAAAGTTCCGGTTAGAAAACTTCAAAATTACTGGGTCCGGACATAACAGAAAATTTATTTCATCAAATGAACGAAACTTCAAATACAATATTAAATTAAATACAAGAGCAATGAATGGCTCGCAAATATGGACACAAATGTCTCACATCAGAACGACAAACTGTATATAAAGTGGTATAAAACATATAAAGATGACTATTCCATGCGATTTCACTATTATAAGAACTAACGTATTTGCTCGTTTTGTAGCCCGGGCCCATATTTTTTTCAACCAACTCACCAACCGTGCACTTATTCAAACCGGCCCTCATTCAAGCACGGGCGCTTGTTATTTTTGATCGTTACAATAATTAATAGATTGTTCTCAAGTATGATTTAAACGAGAATAACGAAAATTTTGACTTTTTCTAAGCACCGCAGGTACAAATTCGCAAAAGAAGAAGAGTTTCGCGACGCCCTATCAATATTGAAACGACGGACTTGGGCCTCGCCATGCCCAGTTTGAGAACCATGATGTTACGTAATCAATGCTATCTGTAATGTACTTGGACGCCTGAGGCGTGAGCGTTATCTACCAGCGCTTAAAATTCAACAGCGTTGTGACAAAAGCGCTTCTTATTTCCTATTGTTCTCTACCATTGAAAAATCAGCTTTTACATCAGGCGAGTATTCAAGCACCGGCCCTCATTTATTTATATGTTTTTTTCACACGGGCGGCTATTCAAACGGGCCCTTAATCAAGATCGGGCGGTAAAACGAGCATATACGGTATTCTAAATGAGTCTTATAGCACACTAACACAAATGTATTTCGATCACAAAATTGCTAGTCGGGACTCCTCTCTTGAAAAGTATAAAATGCCAGATTACTTGTTATTAGGTCAACTTCCTATCTTCAAGTTTATTTATCACAGTTATGGATTTACTAGAATAGGGGTGGGAAAGGGGTTGGACCAGGGATCAAGAATTTGGCCCATCTAATAACATTCACAAATGTAAAAAAGGTCTGACTTCTTGTAAGTCAGCTGCCAAATTATTGAAAAAAATCATGATGAAAATTTCACATTTTCATTCTCAAAAACGTTTCATACAAACACCCACTGATAACGATACCATTCTAAAAAGACTGGAAATGTTTCATTCAAAATATTCAAAGTTTTCACTTCCTTCTCTACTACAGAAAGATTATTACAAGAATGAGTTCAACTTCCTCATGGGGGTTACGACCCCCAGGTTGAAATATATTGGCTTAACATTCACAGACTTTGCTGATGTGTGCTACACGTTGCACAAAGTTAATAATCAACCCAGATATGAGTTCAAGGAATGCAGAGATTTTCTTGTAATCCTCAACAGACATCCGACCAACCCTTATCCACGCTTTTCACTATTAAAAAGGTCACTGATATTAAAAGAAACATTGAGGAGCTATTTTTTAATTCGAAAACAGGAATCGTTCTGGTACGACATTGCCAAATTACGCCCAGTGTGAGATGGGGTTTAAGATAGAGATTTAAAATCTGCGATGCTAACACAGTTAAGTTACGTGCTTTTATCCCTAAGGCATCTTGCCCAAGGTTAATTGTTTCACCCATAAACATAGTACATGGTTCTCCAGAAGTGAGTGTACTAATATGGAGGTAACTAATTTTGTTCGCCTACTTTACATCAAGTTGTGTAAAGGAACTAAAGTCTATGGACAGGGTTATATTCACTTGGCTAAAACAGACAAACTAAAATAGGGAAAATCGGAATAAAACAATGACTGAACCCTAACCTGGTACACACACTACGGGAGTACCCACAGGCCACATATCTACATTACAGACAACCATTGAGTACAATAAACAATAAAAGAATAACACGATACCAAGCTCAAAAATTTTCCCGATACACATGATACATCAAGCAAGCAAGGTTACAACACTCACTCACACAAAGCAACGCACACTGATTTCTAAACTAGTAACAACAAAAGTGTTAAGAGTTACTGAAACTATAAAATATTATTGTAAAGAATCACGCATCAAAAATATAAAGATATTCCTGCCACAGCTGCAAATCCAGCTATAGGAAACACTTATAATCACAGGAAGTCTTAGCATGATGGGCTCAATTGATCACCGCCATCTAAGGCTATAAATAGCACAATCGTGAAAACATATGCACACAAAACAAACTGCATGTACAATAATTCGTACGCCTAAAAATCAAATATAAGAATGGCTGTAAGCCTGTAATGTACATACAAGTATTTATCACAGTCACTGATTTATAAGAATGGGAGGGGGGGGGCAAGGTTTTGGACCAGGGGGCCCAAAGATTGGCCCACCCAGTTACATTTTATGAACAATATATACAGTGCTATCGATTGACTTTTAACAAGACCAACTACTTTACTGTTTTCTATGCTTTTGTGGCGGTGGATCCTTATTCATATAATGCAAGGACGCTGTAACAAGCGTGAAGATAACATCCTGAGTGATTCAAGAGTCTTGCCCAACTAACACAAATATATTTCTGTAACGTTTCGTCTGACCAAGGTCAAACTTCCGCAGACATTGAAATAAATATGGCTGAGGAAGTTTGACCTTGGTCAGACGAAACGTTACATAAATTCATTTGTGTTAGTTGAGCAAGAATATTTATTGAATTAATCAGAATATATACAGTGTTTCAAAAGCCAGTGGAAAACAATAGGCCTCGTGCTAAAACTCCGTAATCTCGACAAATTTCTTGAGTTATTTTGGTTGTGGCTGCAACAGGCGGGCCAGATAGAATAACATAAATGGCTGTCTTCGGCCCACGGGCCATAGTTCGCCCATGTAAGTACTAACTAGAACAATGTCTCACTGCTTTTCACAGCAACTGAAGTCCATAGGCTATACCAGGGCTACTCAACTGGCGGACCGAGGTCCGAATCCGGACCTTCCGGGTATTCGTTTCGGACCGCGCCTTATTCCTTATTTTGGATCATCAGCCCCACTTTTCAAGTTTCTTTTCCTAAAATAACTTTTATGAATTTAAATATATATGAAAAGAACTATAACGCCATATCAAACAATCCTGATTTGCTACTAATCATTAGTCGGTCGAGGAAGTGCTCATTTAAGGATGCCGAAATATCAGTTCTGGAAAGACCGGACCCAAATAATTTTGAAGTTTTGTTTGCGGACCTTCGATAAAAATAGTTGAGTAGCCCTGGGCTATACAACTAGTATAACAGTCCCAACCTTTTTTGATAAAATCATCTCTTTGCCTATTTTGGATTTATTAAATCATTCCTGCCTTCATACGAACAAAAGTGCTTCATATTTTTTATATTCATTAAGGGATTCTTAGCTCATGTTATACGCAAGTCGCACTCACTTTTTGTAAAGTAGTTTATAATGAGCGTGCGAATAAGTATAACAATAACTAATCGTTTTTAATAACGAGTCGTTTTAAGTTTATATATGTACATTTATCTCCTAGTTTTCATAATTTGTTGAACATTTCTAGTCACACTATATAAACCCTTCAATCTGACATCAAGACATCGTATTGTATATCTATAAAAATAAAAAATTCAAAACATTGAAATCAGTGTTTTCGCACACCCCTGTATCTCACTAATGTAAAAATTATCTAAGCAGACAAAGAAAATATGAAC